AGTATAGCTTACTCTGAACCTGTCCATCAAAGTACACATACCAGGTGAGTATAGCTTACTCTGAATCGCACATTGCACTTTATGCTGCTAAATTTTATATTTCGGCCATTTCTTTTATTTAATCTCATTCATCTCATATTTATGCCTTTTTAGCCATATCTTCTGTTTCAAACATTTCTTCCGTTCATTTCATATTTAGTCCACAACTACATGCCTCTGCTGTTCCTCGTTACATGTTTACTTTGATGTTTGTTGGTGCCTTTATTTTCTTTTGTGCTGTCTGTTCCTGTCACATGATCCTGACTGGATTGCCAAGTAAGAATTCCGATGTACAAAAGGCGAATAATCTTGAATGATATCCGTCAGGTCTGTGCACCGTCTTTGTGCAAGATATGATTCAGCACTTCCATGCTTTGTTGTTGTTTTTTGTTTTTGAAGAGGTTGTGTCGGTCGAACCCACAAACACATACTATGAGAAAGTATCAGAGGAACTGAAGAAGATCGTGAAAGAGGTTAAGGAGAGTCCGACCGCGGAGAATCCTGTTCCTTTTGGGAAAACCCTGGCCGTGGGCAGTACAGTGGATGCAAAGGGTAAGCTAGCTTGGGATACTGCCCAGTTTGTAGCACATTATTCAAAGTCACAAGGCATGTAGATGGTAGGCCATGGCGGAAACGTGACAGCGAGTGGGTACAAGAGGGACAAAGGTTATAAAGAAAACCACCACCCTGTTGTGAGGTATTATGGGAATGACATCATTCTGGCCTATCTGGCTTTGACATACATATGTATGTGTGTCTGTGTGCATTTTATATGTGCATGCAAACATTGCACATATATATACACATATATATATATATATTTTTTTTTATGTGGTAAATAAGGCTTATTTTGTGTTTCAGATGAAGAAACCATTGAAAACATAATCGGCCTTCTTAAACAGCAAGGCGATGCCATAAATGTGCAGGTATGAAGGTCACGCAGGAAGGGATTCCCCGATAATCATTAACTAGCCTTTTGTTACATAGAAACGGCAGTGGCCACATTTTTCTGTTAATGTTTAAACAATGTTTTGGATTTGTGGGCTTTTGAGCTGTTGATCTGAACCTCTGATCATTTCTTTAAAAATAAGGGGGATATTCGGCCGTTATTTTGAATAGCGATATCTAAAAATAATTTTTAAAAATTTTACTGCAGTTATATTTAACCATGCAGTCAAATAGGTAAATAGTCACAGGTCTGGACGACAAAGTGGGCGTGGCTTATGTAACTGTTTCCTGGAAGCGGTATTTGCATAGAACAGGGGCGGCTTGGTGGTGCAGTGATCAGCTTTGCCGCCTCACACCTCTGGGATCCCTGTGTGTGCAGTTTGCATCTCCTCCCCATCTCATCATAGGGTTTCCTCCAGTCACTCCGATTTCCCCCCTAAATCCAATAACATGCTGAGGTGAATTGGAGTTACCAAACTGCCCATAGGTGTGTGTGAGTGAATGGTGTGTGAGTGCGCCCTGTGATGGGTTGGCGCCCCATTCTGAGTTGTTCCCTGCCTTGTGCCCTGTGATGGGTTGGCGCCCCATCCTGGGTTGTTCCCTGCCTTGTGCCCTGTGATGGGTTGGTGCCCCA